GCCACCGCCACCAGCAGCAGCAGCAGGAGGATTAGCATTGTGACCACCATCATCATGAATCATGATGGCATTCGGGGGCATCGGGTCCTCTAGAGATCTGCCAGCATGTTCAGCTCAGCTTTGCTCTGCCCCGAAGAGGCTACCATAACCGAATGTGGCGATTCCATGGTCTTGGGTTGGATGACACAGAAGACTCTGGTCACTCCCTCCGCCTCGAAGCCCTAAGCTCCCCAACTTGCTGCACAACGCGTAACCCTCTGAAAGCTTTGAACCCCAAAGCTCTCACCACAAAGCAACCGACAGATTTCTCATCTCTCGTGAGCTGTCATTGATAACTCACAAGCGAGGCGGGCCTCCTGTTGCATCTGAGGATGGTCGCTGAGAGGATCGGACACGATGCCTCCCGGAACTTCGGCTTGGTGTATGACTGCGCGCTCCTTCCTCCATCTCTTGTCAATCTTTTTCCCAAGCGGTGTGACAACACTCTGGCAGGGGCTCTTACGTTCACTGCAGAAGGATGCGAGAAAAGAAATGGCATTCTCGCCAAAATCCCGTCCTGCGCCGGCCGCGTCCCCCCGGACACCGAATTTGTTGCAACAGAAACAGGTGTTTGCCAGGTTTGCCTTCAATCGGCTCGAAATGTCCAAAGCATTTCAAAGTCCTAGCCGGGCCACACGATGTCGTGCTCGTCAGTGCGAGTAACGAGGTGTGTTCGATGCTGCTTTGTTTGAAAAACGCTCGAAGTGCTTGGGAGAAGGGGCACTGCTTGGCCCGCTTCAAATCTCTAGATTCGCATGGGGTTTGTGGATTTTTCGGAGGATCTCCAGCTCTGGCCCTGGTGTGGTCTTCCAGCGGTCTCCTCCAGGGTCGAGAGAAAACTCTCGACTTGAGTTTAAACGGGTGGTGGTCCCGTGCTCAGGCTCCCGAGTTTGAGCCGTTGGACTGTTTGGCCGCGTACGCGGGATCAGGGCCGAAGCTCCAACAACCCCGTTGCAACAGAGACGTTCCAAGACCACGAGCCTCAAAGTCCCGAAGCCCTCGAGTCCCGAAGCTTCAGCATCCCACAGGCCCCGTCACCTAAGTACCTCGGAACCCTACCCCAGTCCGCATCAATCTCCAGCCCGACTCCTTGGAAATGACAAATCACAAAGGCCTTGAACTGCAGAGCCGAGGACCCCACTTTCGCAACCGACCAGCAGGATTTGCTTCACCTGCGCGGTGCCGCTGGGAGCTAGGCGGTGGGATCGAATGTTTCAGGGTTCCCTGCTTCCGGGGTCCATCAATCCAGGACGCCAGCCTTTCACTTGCAAAGCTCGGACCGGCCTCTGTGTAGTGCTTCATGCAGAACAGACAGATGTGGCCGTTCCGCTCGAACAGTGCGTGCAGCGTCTCACCCGCCTTCGCTGTCTGAATCGGCACGGCAGCGGCGGGCAAAAGGTTTGGGTCTGAGGGAGTACAGAGGCTGTAGACTTTTGGGTTTACGTGGAGAGACCGAAGAGTGGCGCGAGTGCAGGAAGATTGCTCTCCGGAAACCGGAGCCTTGTGACGCCGGAACCTGATACCTGGTGAATCGTATTCCGATCAAGCAACACCCAGCCGGATATTCAAAACAGACAGCCTGAAGGCAGAAGCGCGGCCGCGAATTACCACAACCTTCCGGGCCTTCTGCACGACTGCTGCCGAAGGTGTCTCTCTCCTTTGAAGCTCGCTTCAGTTGACAGCTGGGCTGGGATACAACCCCTTCGGGCCATCAGGGCTTTGCAGCTTCGTTGGTCTCTTGAGCCATATTGATAGTCGTATATACATCTGGCAATATTTTTCATAGAAAGGAAATCTGGTAACCATCGTCGGTGGTGGCGACATTTCGAGCACAGTCATTCCAAACTGTGACACTGCCAATTGGTGGGCTTAGAATTCTCTCCCATTGAGGTCAGAACAATTCCACGCCGGCGGCCGGTGCATCGATGAGCTCGGCAAGGACGTCGACGACCCCTGGCAGCGCTGAAGGCTTCGGTCGGTTTCGGAAGAGATTCTGCCAAATGTAAACCAGCTGGTGATCCGCTTCAAGCCCATCTGGGCAAGTGGATGGTGTAACAGGATTGGCAAGAATTGGCAATGATGTGGACCAGCTCTCAGGGGAGTGGCTACCCGACAGTACAGATGGGTCAGAGGAGCGCAAGGTTCTCTTCTCTCCTGCATGGGCCTCCTTCTGCTATCTGCGTGACGCACATGGACAAGACTTCTCTGCTTGTCCGAAAATAGCTATTGGCTGAGATTCTCTGAGATGGGGGCACGAGAACGGCGATATGGGCGACATGGTACTTGGCCGTGTATGGTCATGGCCGTTCCGAGGTCATGAATGTCATGAGACTCTCCTATGCCAGAGCCCCAAGTTTGACTCTGGTGTTTAACGGGTTTGACAGAGTTGCGAGACTTTTTGGTATTTTGTACTCAGAGAGATCCCCAAATCCGATGAATGTGTTGCACTGGCAGCCTGCAGAGGCCAAGCGAACGGGCGCCGCCCCGGGGTCCAGAGCCTCCGCCTGCCGTGGAGAAACCGGGGGCTTTTTGAGAAAGCCTGCCGAACGGAGCATCTTGGAGCTCAAGGTCACTAGCGAACTGCGGGCCCTCGAATTTCGCAGCAGTGTAGGGTTAGCTTCGGGGAACTCCTTGGGAGTGGTGTCTGGTGCGTCAGGAAACTGCTGTGTGCCAGACCTATCGGCCATTCGAGATGCCTTTGTGTGAGATTCTGTGAGTCCCATGGCCCAGGAACTCCCAGACCCGACCAGGCAAACCCTCCTCGGTTCAAGCGCAGGCCTTGGTCTGCGCTGCTCTGAGACATGACCAGTGTGACCTCAGTGGACTTCCCTGAAGCCTTTCACCCCTGAACGATTTTCCATCACTTGGGGAAGATGGTACAGCCTGCGAACAGGTGCGTGGGCCGGCACTTTGTCTTTTGAGGGTTTGGTTAAACCAGGCTCCGAGTGGCGTTGTAGGGATTCGGGCCAAAGATCCGAAAGGAAATCCGCCATCCCGACGCCGACGTTCCAGATCAACGAAGCATAGCGCGCCAATCCGGGAGCCAGGAGATCCCTCAAAATGAACGATTTTTATCAATTAAGTCACTTCACCCGCAACCTTAAGGAAGCCGGGGCCGCTGTCGCTGAAGCTGGGTGCTGCACAAAACATGCAAACAGACCTGCATGGAGCGTGAGAGAAATGCACGGGTTCAGCAAGGGGGCCGTAGAACTTGCAGGGTGAACCGGGTGAGTCCCAATGGCAAGAGCTTCTGTTCGGAGCTGCATAAGCAGTCGGATGTTCCTAGGATTTAGGCCTCCTGTCGCTGCGGCTGACTTACTGTAGTCAAAGTATAGCAGCACCATGCCAGATCTCTCAAGCCACAGCACCCAACACCCAAATCTCTGGCTCCACGGGCATTGAGGCAAACTCGAGGCTGCCTCCAAGCAGTAGGTGACGTAGGACCTGGTCTGACATGGTTGCCAAGGAAGCAGCTTGGATGCTTGGTCCATTGTTCTATGACAGACAGGGTTATGCAAGTCCTACTTCTCGTTTCAGAACTTCGATTTATACGATCTTCCGGTTGCCAAGCACCCCGGGGATGACACAGAAATGCGATTCGCAGCGAGAGGTCCATGTTTTTGCACATTGCGCAGTCATGCTTCCCAGCTGTGGTCGATCAGCGAACTCCTCAAAAGACTGAAGTGAGAAAAGCTTGCATAGCTTACACCTACCGTCTGTTGTGCGAATCCAAGTTAAGCTGCTCGCGACACCTTGCCATTTTCAAGACACCAATCCGAGGCCTTCAGAGCCCAGGGCCCTTGGACCCTGAAATGCTCTGAACTCCAAGGTACTTACCAGCCGTCGATGGGCAACTTCTCCTCTGCTAGGTGTCGAAAAGCCACCTGACGTCCAAGACAGGCGCCGCAGTCTAAGGCCCACACTGCCGTGCGAAGTACGAGTGGTCAGGCTTCAAAACTAGAAAGTGTCTTCATTCTTGAAACTCTTGCGCGATGCGATCTGCTCCTCACAACTTAACGCCAAAGGCGAAGACTGATGTGACATGATGTACGCCGGAGGTTTCCGGCCTCTATCTCGGGGACAGAGTCCGCAGCATTCTCGGAGCACTCGTAGCCACGAAGCAGCAACTGTCATCACTAAAGTTTTACGGGAGGTACGAGTAGTGTCACTATGGTGAGGAACGCCGGATCAGCGGAGCCCTTGAGCTGATGCTGACAATCCAAATAAACGCCATTCACAACGGCAGGCCGAGGTTCCTCTTACTGGCATGAGTCAATCCACGGTGCAGATGCCGACTCTGAGTCGGTGCCTGCAGACACGCAACCATGACCGGAATCACATTGTTCTCGGCATAGTTGACCGCCATCTGCAGCCTGCTGTCCCAATGCCATTTGTGAGCAGAAGTCCGCCTATATGATCTCATGCAAGCATCTCTAAAGCTGAGAATCATTGCTAACCACAACTCTTCGGCATTCCAACATTACTCGAATCTGTGACTCAAGAAGTTGTGCAAAACCCGTGTTTTTGTACCTCTGAGGTGAGAACAACAGGGTGCAGCGAGATCAAAAGGAGCGCAGCCCCTCCGTCTAAAGTAAACACATGACTGGCATGTGATATTCTGCGGAGATCTTAGGCAGTCTATTGCCCTACAATTCAGCCTTGACATTAAATCACCCGCGCAGCGAAAGGAACCTAGCCCCATATTCTGACATTCCTGAGTTGCCTCAACTTGCCTTGGTCTAAACACCTCAGGAATAAACCAAACCTCAGCTGGGCGTTCTGATGCACGGTCGCCAGCGCCTTGCATGAAGCGTGGATGTTGGGTTTGGTCTTGTGTAGATTGGAAAAAGACTCCGTGTTACAATGGGCCGGGACCTCGGTGCAAGCTGCCTGTCTGAAGTGATTCAACCTCAAGAATAATTAAGAAGCTTGTGCCAGTAGCTATGAGTCAGCTCTCGCCGAATTGTCGTCGGCCACACTCCGGAATTGCATCAAATCCACATACTTCCACCCCAAGTGAGAAGCCTGTCGGAGGCCACCCAAACCTTACGAACTTTTAGCAGAGAAAATGCATATGAATTGGTCGCACAGCCCAAGCTGCAAACGAGGCACGATCCGGACCAAAGCCTCCGATTCTTGGTATTCCTCTGCACGAGACGCCACCCAGAGGTTTCAGGGACGTTTTCGTGAAAATGTGGGCTTGCGCACCGGGAATGAGCTGGTGTATTCACATTGGCTTTTTCGTCTTTTGCTACACACAAATTGACAAACCTCTGACTCTCATCCAGTCAAGGTCAGTAACACTGGTGCCAAGATGAGACGTGGCGGTTTGCCTCTAATCGCATCAGCAGCCTTTGTGGAGGGAGCTTCAGGAACAGGGACTGCAGAAGAGATGCCACCTGCCAAACTGATTTGCGGCCTAATGTCACGCGTATATTGAGAATTAAGCAGTTCTGTCAGACTCAGCAAAAAATATCAACATCCGCAGACGTCTTGGAGACTCTTGCACTGCAGCTCGGTTTTCTCAATCGGGCTACAAAACACTGCCATCCTCTAGCCCTTGCCTTGCGCAGCACTGCCAGGGAACTGCACTGTCCCGGGTTCGGGTCCTGACAGTTGAAGAACCTTTCGTCGCGAACGGACCCTGTGGCTGTTATTATGTCCCCTCACACCTGTTTCGGATGCACTATGTAGGCACTTGCTATGACCACATTCATCCATATCCACCACACTCGCTGCCACACTATACCCGATTTGTTCAGGGCGGCACGGAATTACAAAGCGTGCCCGTGCTACGGAAACTCCGTGCTGCGAAGGTCTCGCTTCAAGCTGACGAATGCAAAACCGATTCTAAAGATTTGGCTGTCGGGCAATGCCCTTCGGGTCTTTGCTTTTGTGCTATATGCAACGCTGCCAAAGGCGTTCTTCATCAAAGTGCCAAGAACCAAGTACTTGCTTTATCGCACGACGTCGGCAAAACATTCGGCTTCCCGCACGACATTGGGTCTGAATACAAAACAGGAAGCCCTCAAAAAAATGTGAAACCTCAGAGCCACAAGAAGCCGTAAATCCTGCGAGCTCACGGACCCCCCGGCACGCCCGGAACAAGGAAAATCTACCCCGCTGTTTAGCTTCAAAGAGGTCCTCCAACGTCTGCCTCTGGTGGAAGGCCCACAACGACAAGACCTGCAAACTCAACCCAAAACTACATGTGAGTCTCTGCAAATCCTCATTTAGCTAACCAGCTAGTTTGTCAGTCAGCTAGTCAGACAGTTAGCTAGGTAGATAGTTGGTTAGTTGGTTGATTAGATCACTAGTTAAGTTAGGTTTGTGAGGTAAAGGTCGTGGCATGGGTCAGTTAGTTCGCGATCTGGATAGTTTTTTTGTTGCGAGTGAGTGAGTGAGTGAGTGAGTGAGTGAGTGAGTGAGTGAGTCAGTGAGTGAGTGAGTGAGGGAGGGAGGGAGGGAGGGAGGGAGCGAGGGAGCGAGCGAGTGAGTGAGTGAGGGAGGGAGTGGTTGAGCGGGTGAGTGGGTGAGTGAATGAATGAGTGAGCGAGCGAGCGAGTGACCGAGTTGGTTTGCAAGTGCATTTCACAAGCAATGAGTTAATTGCGCCAGCATACATACTTAAGTTCCTGCTTGCTCGAATGGGCACCTGCTTATGCACTCAGCTACTCATAAGGTATCCATCTATGTATTATGTACGTGTGAATGAAGGTATACGTGTGCACGCATGTAGTACCGATGGATGTCTGCCTGTGTCTGTTTGTCTGTATGTATGCATGCATGTACATGCGGATGGGGGTGTAGATTGTGTAGATGTATATGTGGATGTGCGTATACATATGTGTACATATATATATATATACATACATACATTAAGTATTAGAGAGTTGCAATAATCCTTCTTGCGGAACTGGTTTCTTCGCGCATTGTTGCTTTCCTTTCGCGGGACTTTCGCCCTCATCGCGCCACATGTTGTTGGCGGTAGCAGTAGCAGTAGCAAGAGCAGTAGCAGTAGCAGTAGCAAGAGCAGTAGCAGTGGTGGTGGTGGTGGTGGTGGTGGTGGCGGTGGCGGTGGCGGTGGCGGTGGTAGTGGTGGTCGTCGGAGTGCTAGTGGTAGTGGTAGTGGTAGTGGTAGTGGTAGTGGTAGCAGTAGCAGTAGCAGTAGCAGTAGCAGTGGCAGTAGGAGCAGTAGGAGCAGTAGGAGTAGCAGTAGTAGTAGTGGTAGTAGTAGTAGTAGTAGTAGTAAGTAGTACTAGTAGGAGCAGTAGTAGTGGTGGTGGTGGCGGTGGTGGTGGTGATGGTGGTCGTCGTCGGAGTGGGAGTGGGAGTGGGAGTGGGAGTGGGAGTGGTAGTAGTAGTAGTAGTAGTCGTCGTAGTAGTAGTAGTAGCAGCAGCAGCAGCAGCAGGAGCAGCAGTAGTAGTCGTAGCAGTCGTCGTGGTGGTAGTAGTAGTAGTAGTGGTGGTAGTAGTAGTAGTAGTAGTGGTGGTGGTCGTAGAAATTGGAGCAGTTGCAGCATCAGTAACAGTTGCAGAAAACGTGCCAATACTAACATTAGTAGCAATTTACTGTAGCTGTTGTAGTAGTCGTCATCGTTGTCATCTTAGCACTGGTAGTTTGGCAGTTTTAGAGGGAAAGAATAGGAAATTGGTGTGGCGGTGGCAGTCGTAGTAGCAAGAGTAGGAGTAGTAGCAGGAGTAGGAGTAGTAGTGGTGGTAGTAGTAGTACTAGTAGTAGTAGTAGTAGTAGTAGTAGTAGATGATCTGCGACTTGATACACCAGGATAGTGGTGGCTGTTGTAGTCGAGCCATGGCCTTGCAAAAGCTGGGCCGTTTTTCGCGGAGTCTGTCGCAGATCTTTCGCGGAAAACCTACAACGATTTCCCCAAAACTGCAACACTTTGACACTGAGGTTGGTTTTACAATACTCGTTGCTGTAGGCAAGACCTGCTCACAAGTTTGGCTTGGCCTGTTCCTGGCCGCAGAATCGCTGAGGCAGCAAGTGCCCACACAAGCTCAAACCCTGGCTTTGTTCTTACTGCGGCGCTGGGCACTAAAGGGTACCCCCACAGCATGATAGCATGTTCGTTATGGGTCTCGTGTGTCCCAAGTCTGTTACGTGAAAACTTCTGAGGATTCTAGCTTTCCTTTCGCGGACCCATCGCAGATCTTTCGCAGACACATTGTTTCAAATCAAAAAGCCGTTTTGTATAAATCCGAAGACAAGGACCTTTAGATCGGCGCTCGTATGTCTGTAGGTAGGTAGGTATGTCTGTATATTCTGCATGTGTGTATGTATGTATGCATGCAAGAGCATGGATGGATGGAGGGAGGTATGGAGGCACGACAGCATTCCGAACTGTTTGTGAATTTTAATTTCCCGGCCTCAATCGCGAAGCCAGTGTGCAAACGTTTACAAGAACAACCTAAAGGCAGCGGTACCTGCCAGTAGTCGATGCCGCGAACATGAACGACGACTGTCTAGCAAGTTCCTGTGTCTACCAACCCGGTGCTGGCAAACGTCATGTCTGAAAGGTCAGCGCCCCGAAGCGCTGAAGGACTCGACACCCTGAACCCTGACGCACAAAACAACCTTGCCGACGACGTCGAACTCGCTCTCCAGGCGACGGAAGGTGCCGCGCCTTTAGCTTCCAGCTTGCTAATGCCCGGGGTCGAGGGAACATATCCTACGGTCCTGGCATGCTTGTAGGATTGAAAGGGCAGGTTGATGCACCAGCGCTGACAGATCAAATCTCAAAACCAGGCAAAGCTAGTTCTCCAAGGCCATGAAAGCTTACACGCAAGATTCCGTCCCATCAGGCCTGGGGGTGTTTTCTGCTGTTGCAACACGTCTCTGCTGTTTCACACGAGCTTCGCACACCTCTAAAAGGTTCAAGAGGCTTTTGGATCTCGTCAGGGAGGTCTGGTGACACCATTGCACATGTGACCGAGTAGGCTCTCGTCGTCCGACAGCTCAGCGGCTCTGTGAAATTGGGAACGTCATCCTCTGCTGAAAACCCCTGACCTCCAAACCTGCCAGCAGACTCCCGAGCATCAACTTTTCGGTTTGACTCCCGCCTCTGCTGCTCCAGGCTTTGCAACTCATCCAGAACCTCGCAGCAGTCGACAGGTTGGCTTCGGGCTTTTAGGACATTCAGAGCCAGTAGAGGTTGGGGTAAAGCGAGCTGTAATGCTGCTGCGCAGGCAGAGGCGCAGTTTCGCCTGCCGCCGTTTTTTTCGCTAGCCGCACGGTAGTACCACACCGTTTTCGGCGGATCTTGACATCGCGCGACCCATGCAAAATATTGCAGATCTTTGCCATTTTGCTTCGCTTTCAGCCAAAAGACAAACTTCCCGGTGCGGAACATGGTACACATTGGAGACCTTCGATTTTGCTCAGTACACAAACTGACTGAATGATTTCCAAGACCAAGGTGCCGTATCTTCAAGCATCGAATGTGAATCTCACAAGATTAGCTTGGCTTTCCAGCAACCAAAACACTGGTCCCACCAGGCCTCGAGACAGACGAAGGTATCCCCAACGAAAGAGTCGCCGAGGGCAAAGGAGCACAGCTCCAAGTTGTTGCTGAACCTGAAGCTCAGCGGTGAACAGTTGCTGGCTTCTGCTGCTGAATTGCTTGAGGTTGCTGCCTGGAGAGCTTGCTCAGGATTTAAAGCCTAGTTAGCAGGAACCTGCCCCTGGAGGAACGGCGTTGTGCTTGCAGCCCTGGGCTACACTAGAGCTGGAGTCACTTTTCGCATGCCTGAGGTGCCTGCACCATGCGGATGGCACTCTGCACCGCCTGCTCCAGGCTTAAGTTGGGCCCAAACCATGGTCTCCAAAATCCGAGCGATCCCTAAAAGGCCCTAAGATCCGTCTGCTCTAAAGCGCCTCCAACGCAGCCTCCCAGTCTGCAAATCTAAAGCCGGGCCTTTGCCAGTGTGGGGTCCAGCTGCTCTCCTCCTGTCATTCGCTTCCGCGAGCGAAGTCTAAATCCCAAAGGGGACACCCATCCCACAGTCCTTTCTTTGCAACGACACGCTGCCGTGCCAAAGCGAAGGAGTGAATGGCACCACTGTCAAGACATGCCTGCGCAGAATGTCTGCACGGAAATAGGAAACAAGTCTGTGCTGGGACAGTCGCGGCACATCGCATCTATAGTTGCCATGAACCATTGCAACCGCGATGTGGTCAATGCTACATCGCCATGCTACGATGTTTTCTCATGGTGCATATTTTGTGTTTCGTGCATGGAGCCCTTGCCGCTGCTACTCAGGGGCCGGGGTCGTGAACCAAAGGTACGAGTATCTCTTCTTCAACACTTTGAAGATCAGTCAAGTGCGGGAACTCCCCCAGCCCCCGGCACGCATGCACTAGTCGCCACAGTCTGAAAGGCCTTGAATCGAGCTCGAGGCACTTGTCCCCCGATCGGGATTGCATCGCAACACTGGAGGGTTACAGAACAGAAATTGAGGACAAAGCATCTCTCTCTGTCGCTGCCTCGCTGGGTGCGGTCTTGTGTCTCCTGCTCCTCTTCTTGGCGCTCCTGCCTATCTGTTTCTCTGCCTCTGCCTCGGTGCCAGCCTCTGCCTCTCCCTACCCAACTTTGCTTGCGGCCTGGAGATCCCTGCTTAGACCGACATGCAGATTAAGAAACCAGCATGACGTTCGTGCAGGCTTCTGCCAGATCGCTTGCCAGCTTGACTTCCAGGGTTCCGCCTGCCTGCTGAATCCAGGACTCCATGGGCAACAGCGGTATCAGCTGCACACTCTTCAGTATGACGGCCTCTGCACTGCCCAAGGACTTGCAGCTCAGGCTGTGCACTAGCTAAGAGTTTAGGGCTTGGGGGTTAGGATCAGCACTGAGTCCGCTCTCGCTTGTAAGCTGCTTGTGCTTGACGATCAGCTGCCGCACTCAAGCCTCAAAACCTGGTTCCTGTCCACCAGTGCACGTTGCAATAAATCTGAGCTCACCATGAAGTACCCTGACTGTCTTCCAACTTTGGTGAGCACTGAACACTTTGGCCTCCGCAGGCAGTTCGGACTCAGTGAGGAGCTTGCTGACAACAGCCTGGGAATGCAAGACGTCCGCTTCATATTGATTTGTCAGAAGCCAGGCATGGTGCAGTCTTAGACTGCTGTATGCATCGATGTTTCTTACGGTATCGTCTCTGATGCAATCACACTCAGCCGTTCGCGTTCAGCAGCGTTTTCACAAAGTCCTGCGGCCAGCGGTAGACTTTGTTAAAAGAAGAAGATAGGTTTCAACTGTTTGTGTGTATGCGGGGTTTGGACCAAAACTCAGCACTTGCCAGTTGAAAGCTTTGCTTTGGCGGCCGAATCAAAATCGAAGACCTGCGTGCTGTCATGGCTGTGCGCTTGGCTAAGACTCATGACCATTGCAAAAGCAGTGAAGCTCGTTTATGGCCCTTTTGAAGCATGAAACTCAGAGAGACCTTAAATGACAAACATCTCTCTGCGCATCTAAAGAGCCCGGCGCGCGAGGCGAAGCAGCTGGCCTGGCTCTGCAGCCTTTGCCGTAGCCAAGGCTCCACGGCGGGCCTCGTACGAGAGGCGTGTTGCAAAACAAAAAGTTGTGTGCACAGCTTTTGAGCAACCGTCTTAAGGCCCTGAACTGACAGGCTTTGAGATCTCGAGCCACTTGTGAAGCCTCAGGGCTGCCTTGAAGTGGATTCGACTTTCTGTCCCTTCCCCGGCTGAGCCGGCAGCAGCAGCAGAGCCAACAGAGACAAAAGCCAGGTGATGAGCTTCGTGGGGGTGGGGCCCGCGCCCTGGCGTTTACGCTCGCAGGACTTACGGTTGGGCTCACGATCATCAAGAATCAAGAGCCCAAGCTTGGAGCGGCGAAGGCACTCGTCACATGTTGGCGCTTTCTACAGGACACAACCCTCTTGAAATAGATCGGACGAGCCCTTTCCGGAAAACCACCTAAGAACGGAAAACGATGCCAATACTCTGTACCCTGGGACTCTCCTCCGTCACTTTCCATGCTTTGCACCTCCCACGAAACGACTTCGAAACCCTGAGCCATCCTGAGCCCGAAGCCGCTCAATCCTGAAAACCTCGCGTCCTAAACCCCGAAGCCCCTCGGCCTGGGAGGGCGCAGACTGAGCCTCGCTAAGCTGTGCGCTTGAAGCCAATACTGCCTGAGAGTCACTATTCGGGTGAGGGGTACCGGGTTGTCTTACGTATTAACGCTTTAGGCTTTGGGTTCAGAGCTCTACAGTTTGGGTCAAAATATTCCAGACACCGCTTGCCTCGCTTAGCTTCGGGATTTTCGGCTTTAAAGGGACGTTAAAGGCTCAAGCCTCAGAGCAAAGGCGAATGGGTTTGAGGCACTTCTCTTGAAGAGACCGATAGACATGATATAATGGATGCAAGATAGCTGAAGCCTCTTCCCTGTGGGTGCGTTCGTGCGTGCGTGCGTGTGTGCGTGTACGTGTGTGCATGCGCCTGTGCGTGCGTGAGTGTGACGGTGTGGGAGTGTAGGTGGGTGAGCGGGTGCACGGGTGGGTGGGTGGGCGGGTAGGGGTGGGTGGCTGGGTGGGCATGACCAGGACCATGTGCCTCCCAAAACCCTAAACCGAAACTCACGTCAGACCATCATCACATGCTGAGTGTTTTCTGATCCCCTACACCCGGCCTCAGCGGCGCTGCGCATCACCGCCTGGGGAAGGAGCTGCTGCGCCGAGGGCTCCTCCGACCAGATTCAATCGATTTCGAAGGGCAATCATTGCCATTGAATGGCCCCGAGCTTCCGAAGAGGAAGCCCGGAGAAAGGTTCCGAATGCTAGTGGCAAAGAAATGCATTGCTGGGGCTCTTGCCGCGAGCAGAACCGACAGGAACTGTGACGCCTGAAACGACTCCGCACGCACATGCTTCGTTCCAGTTGGTTGAACACTCGGCTGTTCAGCTATTTGCCAGCAATGCTGCGATCCAGGCATGGGCATGGTGATGTTTGACTATACGATAGTCATTACAACCAGGCCGCCGCTACACCTCCAGGTATCAACTACTGAAACGAACCTTGGTTAGAAACTGGACTGGGCTGTGCAAGCAGGAGCACTTAGAGTCTCTCTCAGCACAGCACCGCCACATCTCAGATGACACGGTCTAGGTCGGAAAACCCCGTCAACACTCCTAAAGGCTCTGCAACGCACGAAGACCGGCCTTGAGCAGCAGGTTCCAGTTGCTCTGATGATTGACGAAGACAGCTATTGCAGCCTGCGCCATAGAAGGAGTCTCGCAGGAAATCCCATACATGCGAGGCGACTCGGGCAGTGCCCTTTCTGGTTCACTACGATGGAACAGATGGTGCACCCGACTCATGGCGCCTCATGAGCACACAACCCCACCACTTTCAACTTAAATTCCTTTCGGCATAGAAGACGAACCCACAGCACTTCCGTCGACAAGACAGAAAGTGACACATGGTGGTGGTATTGGCTCTTCGTCAACGTCAAGTGGTACAAGGTTTCCTCCATGAGGAGTAGCTCCGCTTCAGTTCTAAGCCCAATGAAGGTTGCATCAGCACAGGCACAATCTACAGATGGGGCCGGGATGTCACTGTTACTGCACGGCATGACCATGCCCCCGTGCCGGAAAATTACAATGCAGACCACGAACCGTAGGACAGTACACATCAATCAAACTCAGAGGGGTGAGGGCACAGCCGGCAAGCCGTCAAGCGCCGCACAAGCCGAACGAGATGACAAGGCTGCAGAATATGCAGGATGTAGACTTCAGAAGTCTGTCTGCAGAGACAAAATAATGCGAACACAAAGGAGGACAGAGGGACACAGACATTCATCGGCAGCATTGGGCATGACGCCTTTTCGACAAGTGGCTGGAAGACTTGCACCGCCAACTTTTTCACACGGCATCTATCGGTACACGGCGTGCGTCTAGTTGCACACGAACAGAGCTCTCGCTCTACAGCGAGCTAGCGCACCCACCGTCGAACCCCATCGACAAGCCCGCAGCCAGCTGCAGTTCCGCTGCCA